CAACAACGATGTGACGCATGATAACATAGACTAATTCCTCTTCAGATCAGAAAAGGAACTGAATACTGTAGGCCGCGTGCTCCGCACGAGGCACGGGGCGGCGGATGCTCAGCAAACACTGGACACAAAAAGTGGGTACAGTACAGTATTGGACCAATCAAAATAGAAAAATATCTGGGAGATATTTGTTTTTTGTTTCCACCAGTGGGGATCGCTTCCACGGATTTGCCGTCGACAGATGCCATCCAAGGAGAGATGCAGTAACCGTTGTCAACCTAATCACCAACTGATGCTTAATTACCAACTGGATTTTTGCATATTTTTTGGTAGTGTAGTACCTCCACCACCTGAAAAGGTGGTTCCCGCTAAGCATAGAGAACAAAACTCTTTCCATTCGCCCTTAGTCCACTTTACCGCCAAACAAAGAGCGCCAATTCCCTCGTCAAGACCTCGATGGTCAGTATATTTACTTGTTTTGTGATAATCGGCAACTCCAGAGTCACTGCCAAAGTGGTTCCAACTTCACCTATCAGCTACAGTAAACATTCCACTCCCAAACACAAGTTCCTTGAACTTTGCAAGCCGCTGTTCTGCTGAAATGGACCGCACAACCTATCGCAAGCTGCAACTGTAATATTTGGCCACGCTTTCTGCGCCGTCGCGCTCAAACACGCGTCTAAAAATCATGGGGTAAGCTTTTGGAAATCACGAACCGCATATCAAAACTGGGTCCAAGACCCACCCCAACGCGAGCCAAGACGCGTTGAATATTACTGTAGTTGTGCAACAGGCAGGACATCCTGTTTTATTGAGACAAGACGAAGAACAACTAATTTCTGCTGCTGCCCGTGAATTTATCAACTGCAACACACTTTTAACACTTACCAACTTTCGCCAGTTAGGGTGACCCCACCGTGGACGAAAACCCTTGCCCAATTTTCCAACCACCAAATTTTAGACCATTGGGCAAGATTGGCATACCCCACCGCGCCTCTACCATTCC